AAAAACTGCACATTGTCTACAAAATTGAATTATTCCATTCAAGTATATAAATTATAAAATTACATATATTTGTAAAATATAAATTACAAAATATAATTTCCTTTATACCAAACAACAACAAAGAGCACAAATGTCATAGAGAGACTGTGCAGAAAGGATTAATATAGCAGACATGCGACTGCTATACTTAGAGATGTCTGCTTTCAAGGCTGGTTCTTGGCTGGTATCTCGTAACTTGAATTTTGGGAATGTTCCAACTACTGTCATCGTGACTGTCAGCAGTCCTCAGGACCAGCCCAAGGTTCGATGATTTGCTAGAAGGACTGACAGGACTCAGCATACAGTTATACTCATCTCTAGGATTTATTACAGCAAAGGGATACAAAGCAAAATAGCAAAAGCAAAAGACCCATGGAGGTGAAGTCTGTAAGATATCAGGCACAAGCTTTCAAAATTCCTCTCTAGCTGCTTACAGGATATGCTTAATTCCTCCAGCAACTAATAGCGACAACTGTTGTGAAGTGTTTTCTACCAAGGCTCCTTAGACTCAGTGGCTAAGGTTTTCACTGGGGGCTGGTTACATTCCTGACTCCCAGAAAGAAAGCTGGTGTTCAGCATAAACCACACTGTACACACAGTTTAGGCAGAGTGAGGTACTCATCATTTAAAGTTTTATATTAGTGTATGAAACTGTTTACCATTTAAGTCCACAGCTGCCTATCAAGAGCTAACCCTGCCAATAGACCTTTCTCAAGATAGCAGCCATCTGAGATGACAAAAGATTTCAAGTGAATTCTTCTTGCTTTCAGTGCCACATGCCATTCAATCATGGGTACCTGAGAACTACTGAAGGGCAAAGGATCTTTCAAGCAGAATTAGGCCCCCCCCCATATACATGCAATATATACATATGCAAAATAAAAACCACCACAAACCTCAAATTTGCATGGTACTTTACAATTTACATTTCCTTTATCTTAGTTGATCCTCACAACAATCCTGACAAGTAAGAAAGTATCTTCACTTTAGAGTTCAGAAAAATGTATTTGGGATTTTTCAGAACACTGAACTCAGATTTGTCAACATATTTTTTCCAAGCACACTCATATTCTCCTTTAGTTATTACAAGAACCACTGAAGGAAGCATAGCAAATATTATTGTCTCCATTTTGTAGGTGAAAAAAACAGGCTAAGAAAACTTAAACCATTTGCTTAAGGTCTCACAGCTATTAAGGGGCCTGAGTATAACTCCTAATTAGTATGCTTTCCAAGACCCCAAGCATTCAATAAATATTTTTCCAACTAAAATGATATGATTCTAAGAGAGACTTTCAGGATTGAAGGCAAAATGTTTTACCTGACCACTTTCTTCCCTGGTAACTTTAGTTCCTACTTAGGAACACTTATGATTCAAGTATTTATTGAACATATCTGTGTATGGCACTGCATTAAGTATGAAGGATGATAAGAAATGTGTATTATTTGCCTTCTTTTCAAATGGGATGAGCAACATGGCTTGAAGAAATCCGGTATATAAAAACTTAAATACAATTTAGCAAACCATACATACTCAACTATATAGAAAAAATAATACAGTATGTTCAAAATGGGGTTATTCCAGGAATGTTTAAAACTGAATGAACATTAGAACACCCATTTCACTTTAATGTGAAAATCCATATGATCAACAAATGCAAAAAAGTAATCAATAAAATTCAATATCCAGCCATTATTAAAGAACTATTTTCTTACAGTAATAAGAAAATTTACCAAAAAACATGACAACATATTAAATGGTACAAATTTAAAACATTCCTTTTAAATTCAGGAACAAGGCAAAGAAATCTGCAAGGCAACTTCTAGTCAAAGTTGTGCTGCATTTCATAGCCTGCATATTAAGATAATGAAAGGAAGTAATAAATCTTAAGATTGTAAAACAATCAAAATTTCACAGGTTATGATCATCTAAATAGAAAATACCAAAGAATCCTCAATTATTAGAATTAGAGTTTAGGACAAATTGCTGAGTAAAATTAATATGAAAGAATGTATAACAGTTCTGTATAACAGAAAACACAACTTATGAAAATACATAAAAAATAAACTAAAAATAAATTTAATAAATGATATACAAGACCTGAAATTATAAAATTTTACTGAAAAATGTTAAAGTTAAAAAAACTGGAATAACAAGACACAAGACTCAATATCTTAAAGGCATTGGTTATTACCAAACTGAACTGGAAATTCAATGCAGTTTGAGTTGAAATTCCAACAGCAGATTTTATAATTTCTATTAAAGAACAGCAAAGGATCAAGAATAGCTAACACTTTTCTTGAAGGAACAAGGAACAGGCAGGTACTCTCTTAGAAATGTAAGGGAGAATCCTTAATACAGTGAGTATAGATACAAGGAAAGACAAATACAACCATGGAACAAAGAGCCCAGTAAAACAAACATACACATACAGAAATATATTGATAGCTAGAAATGCAAACCATTGGGGAAAGATAAATTTAACAAGTAATGTTGGAGAAATTGCGTATCTTAAGTAGAAACATTAAACTAGATCCCTACCTCACAGCACACAAATTAACTTCACGCATATTAAGGACTTAAGAGGCCCCAACTTTAAAACTTGTAGGAAAAATACATAAGAATTTCATTAATGGCCTTTGCTACAAGAATTTCTTAACCAAAAAGCACTAAACAGAAAAAGGAAAGACTAATAAATTTTACCCCATGAACATTAGGAGCTCCCAACAAAAGAGATCTTAGACAAGTGAAAGACAAGCCAAAGAGTAATTAGAATACAGCATTAACATCCAGAATACATAATGACTATAAATCAGTAGGAAAAGACAAACCGATTAAAGACAGGCAAAAGACACAAGTATTCCACAGAAGAAAAAAACTATGAGTAAAGTTATGAAAAAGTGAAAGGTGCATCTTCTCCACTGATCAGGGACTGTTTCTAGCTTACACCCAACTGCTAACCGTTCATGCCTAGGTTATTCTACCACAGCAGCATTTATCAAACCGAACTGCGCACCAGCCTAATTACACGCAGTTTCTCCTCAGTGTCTGCTCCTTCAGCGCAAGGATCCTGTCTCATTCACCTGCATAATCTTGGCGCCTCCAAGTATGCCAGGCACTCCGCTTTAGCTAAATGAAGATATAACGGCTCTCACTTGAGCCTCCCCCCATTTTCTGCCTATTCCCAATGTGGCGGATCCCCAAACACTATGCGCTGACATTCCAATTCGACAAATAATAGTGACTGAACTGGCTGGTAGCCCCTGAGAGGCGAAAACAATGTTTAGGTTCAGCTCTCCTTGTCGCCCCTCTAGAACGGCATGTACACGCTGCACAGTAACACCGGAGGCGGAAAGCGCGCGCTCTGGGTACAAGCAAGAACAAAGTCACTGGGAATATGCGACGGGAGCCACTGCAGGCAATGCAATCAGCACAAGCAGCAACTAGTAAGCACTCGATACTGAGGACTATTCAACAGCTGCCAATTAAGTCAACTTGTGAGCCTACCTGGTCTCGGCGAGTTTCCAAGAGGGGCCGTTACACCCACGTGACCAAAGCTGCACTGTTTTCTCAAGGGCAGGGCGTGGGCAGACACCCTAGCGAATCCTGGCAAAGTTCGGCAACCTGCGCTGCTAGGCCGGAAGGTGAAGGGAGCAGAGGGATGGACGGGCCAGGCCTGTTTCGAGGTAAGGGTGCAGCCTCCACAGAGGAGCAGTGAGCGTCCGGGAAGCAAGGGGCATTCCCGGCCGTTCCCCAGGATGGGGTGAGGCTCTGGGCCCCTGCTTTGAAGGGTGAGGAAAAGCAAAGAGGCGCCAGGACCGAGCCTATTTGAACGTCAGCCGCTTCTTACCGAGATCTGAGAACCAGAAGTCGCGGAGACCGATGCCGCCATCTTCCTGCCTACCCAGAGGACCTCCGCAGCCCTGGGGGGGTCCGGGTTCTCGAGCTCCTCCTCAAGATTCGAGAGCCGCCCACCAGGGGCGACCCTAAGCCGAACCCCTGATGGAAGGGGGTTGGGGTATTGGTGCCGGGTCTAGAAACCCCTGCACACACCCCCACAGGGGCGCCCACGCTCAGAGTGCACTCGGAAAAGGCAACACGTCCTAACGGACGTCTTGAGTAGCCAATCAAAAAAGCGGACGTCTTCCGGTAGTAGGAGAGAATCCGCCTCTTCCCTCGCTGATGTCACAAGGTAGCGCATCGCTGAAACTGCGGGGGCTGCTAACGCTGCCGACTACCGCACGGCTCTGAGGGGGACTCTACAAAGGGGCGGGCCACATCGAGGAGGAAATGTTGGCCATGGGTTGTGATGTCTCCAGTGGCAATGGAATAGAATGACTGAAACAGAATAAAAGCAAGTGCGAAGTTCAAACACTCCATCGGTTCCCTTGGACTAAACGCCGGAGAGAGCGTGAGCTCGAGTCGGAGACGCCTCTCTAGGTGAAGTACTTAGCTTTTGACCAATAACAAATAGAATGTGGAGGGGCTTTGGTGACTTGGTCCAATAGAAGTCAAGGGAAAAAAGAGTGGAGGCAGAGAGTAAACCTTCACGAACACTTGCCCAATTGGATTGGGGCGTTCTCACTCAAACCTGGGACTGGCTGCTACATACAGGCTCTATGGGGGCCTTTGGGCGGGGCGAGTTTGAAGCGGATTTCGCGCGCTGAAAGCGTCGGGCCGTCATTGGCCAGCAACTTCCTCCCTTTGTGGGAGCTCCCAGCGTAGCCGGGGTTAGGGGTTGGGAGGAGCGACCGAGTGACGCAGTAGCCTTCCCAGCCAATCAGAGATGGGGAAGGGAGGCCGAGAAGGAAGCGGATCCACTGCCGCGCAGCTAAACCGCATCGAACTATCCTCATCGTCTTCCTCCGCCGCTATAGGGGCCTAAGCGGGAGCGGCCTGGACGGCGTCACTGAGAGGGCTGGGGGCGGAAGTGGAGGCGGAGGGAGACGGTACAGTCCGCAGGGCCTTGGACCTTCGCGGCGAGGCTCTGGTGGGCGCGAGGCAGGGGAGGGGGGAGGAGGAGGAGCCCGCGGCCCGGGCGGCGGCGGCGGCGGCGGCGGCGCCCGAGTTCCCCGTAGGGCCCCGCCTCGGAGCGGGCGGTGGTGGAGGAGGAGCAGGATGGCGGCCTCGGCCCTGTACGCCTGCACCAAGTGTACCCAGCGCTATCCCTTCGAGGAGCTCTCCCAGGGCCAGCAGCTCTGCAAGGTCCGTGGGTGCTGGGCGGCGGGCGGGCGGGGTTTCCTCGGCCAGAGCCCGAGGGAGCTGGGTGTCCTCTGCACTGCAGCCCGGCTCTCTTCGCCGGCGCCTTGGGGGCTTTGAGCTCTTTCTTGCCTCCTCACTCGGGACCCCTTTATCCGAGGACGTGGGCATCAGATGGGAGGGGCCCCTGAGGAAGACAAAATTCTGTTCTCTTCCAGGCGCCCAGGAGGGGGCCGGGCCCCACCAACATTCAGGGGTCTCAGGGGTGGGGCTGAGTGAGGCGGCAGCCACCTGTCTATGCCGCAGAGACCCTGGGGTGGAGATGTTTTCATCTCGGTTTTCTGCCTGGACTGTTCTCTCCTTCCACCGGGAGGCAGGGGACGGTTTTTGCACTTTCTTGCTAGGAACCTGAAGCCGCAAAGCTGATGGCATCTTTCTTCCCTGTCCAGGAAAGCGAAGCGACTGGTTTGGGGACAGAATGCTCTATGATTTGGAGCTCCTCCCATCCCATTAAAGCCGGGATGCTGTCTGTGAGCAACGGTGCAAAATATTAAGTAGTTTCACATTTAACCAACCCTTGAAATCGGCCCTGACAGCTTTCTTATTTGTAGCATACCCCCCACATCAAATAAAGACAAAGACACCTATACCTTCCCTAAGAAAATATGCTGTAATTGGCCACTTATATGATAAATTACTCAATTGTTTACGTTGAGGACAGGTATTATTGATGTTTTAGGAATTTGACTAGGTTGTGTAATAATTTTCTACCAGAAAAGTGAAATTTGGGACTTTGAGATAGATACTAATATATTGTCTTATTACAGGAATGTCGGATTGCGCATCCTATTGTAAAATGTACTTACTGCAGATCAGAATTTCAACAAGAGAGGTTTGTATACTAAATAGTTTTTGATTGTTAAAGACACAGTTGTCTGTAAGGAATACCGGGGGGGCGTTGTAATCCTGTATTTGTGGTAAAGTATTCTTAAATATGGTTTAGTGTCTTAAATTTTAAGTTGTAAACCTTTTATATGTGGTGGGAGAGACCATGTTGACAATTAATGGCTGTTTTACAGCTAGACTTCAGTTTACACATGAGGAAATGGAGAATAAATTATTGCATGGAAGATACACAGCCTCGCTGACTAAAAATGCAAATATAAAGTTACTATTAAGCTGTAAAAAATGACAAAACATTAGTGCTGACATAATGTTACCAACTATCTTCCAAGTGAAATCTAGTAACTTGTTACCAGTGGAAGAACAGCACATACTTTTTAACAGGCTGATTCTTGTTAAAAGATCAGAGCATGTTTAAGTGAGTAGTAGCCTAAGGAGAAGAACAAATAATTTCTTCATAAGTAGATAACTGGCATCATAACAGTGGAGAAGGTCCAGAGGAAGGTTAGGTAAGCACTGAGATGTAAGGCTGTGCATAAACAGTGGCAAATGTGAAGATTTTGGAACTAAATAGGAAACATTAGGATTTTTGTTTTGTTTTGTTTACCAAAAGATACACAATAAAAATGTATAAAAACATTTATCATTTATCTAAAGTTAATGAAAGAAGAGAAAATGTGTATAAGACACATCCCTAAAAAGATCCTTGGTCTATATTAGAGGAAATTTTAAGAACCACTAAATAGTCAGATATAAACTGTATTTGCTTTAGTTCGACAGTGTGCTAATTACCTCAGAAAGCTATGTAAATTTGATCATCTATATTCAATTTCCTTTTCAGCAAAACTAATACAATTTGTAAGAAATGTGCTCAAAATGTGAAGCAATTTGGCACAGTAAGTATGTCTTACATTTTTATTTCATGTTATTGTTACTAGTCAGTGTTTTTCACAAAATGGACTTTAAAAAAAATCTGTATTGTTATGTCCTTAAATATTCAACATGTTAAGATATTCCGGGAAAGGAATTTTCTGTAGACAGACAGAGGATGACAGCATTTAAAAACAGTCATATTATGTGCATGTTTTGTGTATATTGAATTTCAGTGTGAAATGTATGATTTTATTCTTTAAAGGCTCAAATATAACAAATTAACTCCTGGTTATGGAGAACCCACTTATCTATAAAGTTTGCATAATCACACTCCCCTCCACCCCCCATAAAGTTTGCATAATCACACTCCCTCCCACCCCCCAGGACCTCTAACAGTTTTTATATAGTAGTACAGTTCAGGCATTTATTCACAAAAGTCATGACATTATGCTAGTATAAATTTTTTCTCACATGTATATGACAGTCATTATTGGTATAGTACAGTCATGATTACAGTTAAAGTGCTGGCCTTAAGGTTCTGTAAAATCCTGAATTGTCTTTTGAGTATCAAAGAAAATCAAGCTATGTTTGTTATAGTTTAGGTTGAATATGCTTGTGCCAATTCTTAAGTTGAAAGCTCATGTGTAATGTATATTCTTTTCATCACCTATACCTGTATATGATAAAAAGTTAAATTTTTTTTTAATGAAACAGTAATAAAAGTAATTAGGATATTAAATTATTTCATGCTTCTAAATACTGGATACGTGAAACTTTTCTATCAGTGTGTACCTTTATTTTCATTCTTTGAGACCTTTTTCACATGTAGCTTTTATATAACATACTATCCAATTATAAATACATTTCTCATGATCTTATTTATTTAATAGAGTTAACAAAAAGTTGCGTGACTCTAGAAATAAGTGTTAGTAAATGAATAAGAACATGATGAATGTCATTAAATATGACAGGGTAACATACTTGACAGAAAATTTTTTTTTCTGTTTCCTTAATTAGTCCCAGAAATATGTCTGTATACAGGTGTATATTTTATGCGGCAAATTTTTAATATTTTTAAATGTCTCAGTTAAAATGTATATCTGCTTTTCAGCCTAAGCCTTGTCAGTACTGTAACATAATTGCAGCATTTATTGGTACAAAGTGTCAGCGTTGTACAAATTCAGAAAAAAAATATGGACCACCTCAGACCTGTGAACAGTGCAAACAACAATGTGCTTTTGATCGAAAGGAGGAAGGAAGAAGAAAGGTATTTATATTATGATATCTTCTGGAAATTGAATGAAACACACAGGTTGGGAGTTATTTTAATGAATACACTACTGCTACATGATGTATCCTTTGGATCCCTGAAAATGGTTAGATGGAAGTGCAGGAACAGTGCATTTTCTCTGTTTGCATCACACATTTATGTTGATCAGCTGAGATTACTGTATTTTAAAAAAATATTCTGTGATAGCTGTTCTGTACTATTTGGTTATCTAACATTTTGTTCGGGAGAATTACTAACTGCTTTTAAATCCTTTCAGCTACTTACCCTTTTGCTGGTTACTTGAAGTTGCTGGTGTGAAAAAATACCTGATGGCACATTAACATGTATAATTCAAAGTTAGTCTTGTGCCTTTTGACTTGGGGCTCATGTTTTCAACCATTGTTTGTTTTTCTCTACCTACAGTGACTTAAAAAGTGTGTGTGTGCCTGTGGCATTCCTCTGCTGATCAGCATTCACTTCACATAGGCCTCCTGTTGTCTGTCAGTTTCAGTTGAGTTGGAGGATGACTCTCTCTTTGAGAAGCTCCCCCAGGTTCTTCCACAGCAGTATATGTACCCTAGTTGTAAGACCTGTCCCTCCAGCACTTCTTGTGTGAACAAGTAGAAGAAAGAAATTTAATTTCATTTTTATAGGGTTTTGTCTTAATTTTGGAAAGAAGTCTCCTTTCCTCACCCTTGACACATGTACAGTTGATCCTCATTATTCGTGGTAGATAGGTTCTATAAAGTTGCTGCGAACACTGAATTAGTGAATATTGAACTATTGCTTCTAAGAGGGCAGTATAGGATTAGATTCTTGCCTCTGTTCACAACATGGTAATCTTTCGATCAATACTTAATCTTGTTTTGTGGATGTTTCTCTTCAGAGACATCTTTTTTTTTTCAAATTTTTTATTGTTACGTTAATCACCATACCATACCACCATTAGTTTTAGATGTAGTGTTTCATGATTCATTGTTTGTGCATAACACCCAGTGCTCCTTGCAGAACATGCCATCTCTAATACCCATCACCAGGCTAACCCATCCTCCCACCCCCCTCCCCTCTAGAACCCTCAGTTTGTTTCTCAGAGTCCATAGTCTCTCATGGTTTGT